AAAAAAAGTAAAGGTTTATATGAGAGAAATAAGTAAGGTTGATGTATCTCACTTGGTTGTTCCATAATCCATCAGCTAGATTTCAGTTTAATGAGTGTCTGCATCATGTAATAGAAAAAATAGCTATGGAATGAGTAGAGAATAGATATGACTTTATTCTGTCGTAAAGTATTAGCCAGATGTTGTACGCTGTTGTCTCCAATTTGATTCCCTCCAAGATTCAGTATGGTTAATACCTACGCTAACCATCTAAAATCAATATGAGAATGATTGATACAAATAGTTCATCACTTTATTGTTTCGTAATGCATTAGCTAGATATTGTGCTCCTGTTACTCCTATTCGATTGTCACTCAAAGTCAGTGTGTCGAGTGCCTATGTAAAACTCATATAATAGATATGAGAAAGATAAATGATATGAATAGGTCACTTCATTGTAAAGCAGTCCCTCAGCAAGATATTGAATTCCGTCATCTGCTATTCGATTCTGTGCTAAATTCAATGTAGTAAGTGTCTATCGAGAAATACAACAAGGATACTAAAGTTAATGAAGAGAATATTCACTTTGTTGAAGCATAGTGCATCCCCCAAGTAGTGTGCCCCTTTTTCTCTGATTTGAGTATCGATGAGATTTAGTCAAATGAGTCTCTATATAGAAAACAGGTACATGAAATAAGAATAAGACATGGAATTAATTTCTGACATTGTTATTTTGTAATGCACCAGCTAGATGTCGTGCTCCATTTTCACCAATTTGATTCTGTCCGAGGTTCAGTATAGTGAGTGTCTTTTGAAGAGATGAAAATTGATATAAGAAGTCAATAGAATCATCATCAAAACTGTTAATCAACAGTTTATAGCTGATACAAAGCTAATACACAACTTTTCTTAATTTGATGAATGGCGTATAACGGTTATCTATTTCTGTTATCCGGTTTAAACTAAGCTAAATACCCGTTAAAATCTGTAAATCATCTTCTATACTGATCTCAAATGACGGTCTCTTGTGCTAGAAAACAATTCGAATTCGTGTGTGGACATATGAATACCAACATTGTCTTTTTCAAAACCACATTTGTAGAACAATGTTAAAGCACACGTTGCGAAGTACAAATTTAAACAAGTGTTTTAGTATATGGCGACAGAAGTAATCCCATTCATTGCCTAGTATCTTTCTAACTACATTACAAACATATCAACGAACTGTTGTAAGATTTCAAACCGTAGACTCACATGGCCTCGAATCTCTAGCACTACTAATGCAGCTCCATCGTGTTTCACAATTTTATATCGTGCAGAAATACTGAGAACTTTTTAAAATTAATTTCATATAGATATGCTTGTATTTAATAACGAAGAGTTTTTTTCTTTGGATTATGCAACACTTTTCTACGTAGTGTGTAAAGTTTAGCAGCTATGAACACTTGGCACATGCTATTATGCGGTCACTTATCATACGCTCGCAGCTAAGTACAACAAAAACAAATATGGTTAAACTCGTTATATCGGTTGAGGGATGCCGAGTTTTATAAGTCTTATTACTTTCTTCATAGATGAGTAATTTTCTAATCTATTATATCAGTTTGCTTAACTTAGCTTTGACAAATATACATCTGACATATGTTGTACAACTAGTTTCAACATAAAATATAGTTTCAAAACGAATGAACAGGATATCAGAATTACCTGATTATTGTGCAAATTTCGAGAAAGTATCGAAACTCCTTGGACAGCGATCATCTTTGGAGATAAGTCCAACTCCGTGCAACACTTTTGAACGACTGCTTCTTGGATGGCACACCACATATCAGAGTCAATAAGTTTTTTGTTCCAGAATGATACTTTTATTCCTTGCTACGACTTAGCGGTCATTGTTTCTTGCTGTAGCATCTCCTCTTTGGTCATAGAAGCTAATTGTCGTTGCTGAAGTTTTGACATGATGGAACTGTCCAACATTTGAGCAGATGCTAGATAAGATAATTCAGGTTCCATTTCTTTTCTTATGATTAAATTTAATCGTACTATCTGAATCAGAGCTCGAAACGGGGAAGAATTTTTGCTCCCAGCCTCGCCTAAAGAAATTAGTCCCCGTCCCGGGGCCTCGCTCCATTCCCCGTCCAGTTTATTTCCCTGAAAAGCACCACAAGAATATAATTCGTCCTCAGCCATCCGTTAATTTTGTTATTCTCTATTGAACAGTGAAATGAAATACTACTAACACTTGTGGTTTGTAAATTAGATCTTTGGTTGATAATTTCATCTGCTACCAAAGACTCTCTTTCGACAGTAGTTGAGTTGCGTGGCATTATACACATGTGACATGTCAATATAGAGAAATCTGGAGAAATATTTTCGTGATCATCTCAAAATCAGTACGAATTTGGACAGTCTTTGCCTAATTTGAAATCGACGTGAATATCGACTTCATCTTTTATTATTAGTGTAGGCTTTCTTTTTGTCAGTTCTTCATCCATCAACTGTTCAAGAAACTCTTTTGTTGAACCCTTTTCACTATCAACTGTTGCAGCCGAAGTCACTTTCGACAGATATGCACTGTAAGCATAATAGCATTTTGCTTTTTGAGCTTTTATTACTGACAATAGCCGTTTTACTTTTAGATATGAACACATGAACGCTAGTTAAGGGTGTAACAAGGGATATTGCAGGTTTCCAACAAATATTAGAAAAACTCCAACTGTTCATCTACAAAATCATGAAGTTTAAGAATCAAATTTTCCCACATTATATTGATCTCAAGTTTTAGTTTTCTTCACGATAGGTATGCCAATTGTTTTAGTACATCAAATGGTCTGCCTAGTTGAACATCCTAAATTTGTCTCTTATTGAAAAGCTGCAGAATATCTTAAATACATCCTCGGCCCAATAGGTATAGATATATACTTTATATGTCGCTTTAAAGTAGTAAAGTTTTACGCAAAAGTTCGGTTTGATGCCTATAAAATAAATATACTTCTATTCTTTTCTTAGTATGTTTTAATAGGCGTATAGAAAGCTATTTAACAAATACAAACGGCTATTAATTCTGGCGAAATGCTGAGTATTTGATGCTTTCGTAGCACACAGCAATTTCAATGTTACATAGAAATAGAAAATGTTTATTGAACAAAAGAATGTATAAATAAATTCTACATAAAATTCTGTTTTAGCATCTGAAGTAAACTTTTGGGTCGAGTCTAATTTGCAAAAGCAGTCAATCAATAGACGCTGCTTTTCTCTGTTACAGTCTTTACCAATCACCTTCCACGATAAAAATAGAATTCAATAGAGACTATGGATATTTAACGGAAAACTTTTGTATTTGTACAAAGCGTTGAGTAGATAATCTATTGCACAGAGACTATTATCATACATCTTTATGCATACATTATTCAAATACATAGTCTATATATCAATATTTATGCTGTGGAGCTATAATGAGGTACGTTCAGGGATTTCAACTTAACTCTGTCTCGTCTCGCCCCGCTCTAGGGTCGAACGAATTGACTCTTGATGAGCGTTACTTGTCTTGATTATTGAGAACCTAATATCAAGTTCAAAGGTCGATTTTCTGTCACTGAGTGTCCCCTCTATTCGTATAATCGTCTTAGTATTTCCACAGCTTTCATTCACATATTGTAGGGAATAATAAAATGTCATCAGAATAGAAAGGACATTCATGGCATAGCCTGACATTTATAAAGCATCATCGAATTAAAAACCAGTTCGAATGAATGTGACTTGAGATCAATATTCGCCTTGGACAAAATATACGTGCACCGTTTATCGACGGCACGGAACGATGAAAACTAATTAACAGTACTATTTTCGATGAATGTGGGCTACGCATGAAAACAAAACTGAGAATAAACAAGACGACCAGGATCGTGACGAGCAAAACTTGATTTTCAACTGAATTTGTTAATTGGTCGTAAAACAAAATTAGACATGATGATAATATTTGCGACTTTCTTCTTCTTCTTCTCATGCATTTTCTAAGGACTCCTTCAATAATTAACAAACAACTCAATTACGAGAACACCTTGTCTCTTTTGGAATTCAATCCCAGACATATTACAATAAGCCATCGTCTTCAGAGCAGGCGTCTTGCAAATGTAACCAAACTCATTTTCATTTCATACATTCGGGTTGAACTCCCAAATGACAAGAATAATCTATAGAACTTTCAGCTCTCCAATGGGCAGGCACATCATCATAAACGACCTTGTACCGGGTTCCAGTAATATCAGGACAACGACACCTGTGTCACCAATACTGTCTTCAAAGCCTACTTAGCTTGCATTCTGCCGATTCATTTCAACATGCATGTCTATGCCCCACTCATTCAACCAGTCAAAAGCGGCATCAACCAAAGAATGGTCCACATCAAGGACAACCTTCAGCGTAATCTACAACCTACTAAAATGGCTATTACACGACGGCAGCTGTGATCAGGAACTGTCAAACTACTTACACTACATTAATCAGAGCTTTGTCAATCTAATGTAAGAGAAAAAAGCTTCAACCCTTCCTAGAGGGGCACTGATCACGAAAAACGCGAACTTTTTCCTCATAACATCAGCAAGAATCAGTGAATTCATGTGTCGTCCCATCTATCTACTTAATAACTACAAATCGCGCTACAAACAAACCATGCGCAATCACCACTGAAAAACCTAACAATCCCTGCGAACTATCATCCCCAATCCAAACCAACCAAAGCCTTCAAAGATATAACACCTGTGCTCCAACCGCCACCATCAAAAATGCACATCGCAGCCAAACAATAGGAATGGCAAATAAAAAATGAACTCTTAATCATATAACAAAAATAAAAACAAATGACACAAAATCTGCTTCTATACGAACAAATACTTGAGGCTATCCAATGAACAATTTATTTCAAAGAAACCCGCCTCCTTTCCCTTAAAATCGGGCACCGAAACAAACATACTCCACTTTCGCTAGCTAAGGCACACGCAACCGACACAAAATGTTCATCATCACGGAAAGAGATATCGACGCCGCCGTCGCCCAACAAAGCTGGACACCGTTCCCGTGCTCAATGGTGGGAGACTCGTTGCACCACCCGTAAGCGAAGCACCAGAAATACCACTTGATCCTTGTGTTGTACCGGCACTCCTCACGATTGACGTTTGAGCACCAACTGTGACCGCCCTTGCTGTTGTCTGGCCAGACGACATTGACGATTGACCACCATTTGGGGGCATTGACGTTTGAGAACGATTTGAAGGCATGGACGATTGTGGGCCGAGTGTTACTCCCTTTAGTGTCGACTGGTTCGGTGGCACTGACGTTTGTGGAACAAGTGTTCCTCCCTTTGGTGTTGACTGATTCGGTGGCATTGACGTTGGGCCACCATTTAAAGGCATGGACGTTGGTGGACCGAGTGTTCCTCCCTTAGATGTTGACTGATTTGGTGGTAGTGACGTTTGTGGGCCGAGTGTTGCTCCTCTTGGTGTGGACCGATTCGGCGGGATAGACGTTTGTGGGCCGAGTGTTCCTCCCTTGGATGTTGACTGATTCGGCGGGATGGACGTTTGTGAGCCTAGTGTTGCTCCTTTTGGTGTGGACTGATTCGGCGGGATAGACGTTTGTGGACCCAGTGTTCCTCCCTTGGATGTTGACTGATTTGGTGGTATATCTTTGAAGGCTTTGGT